TTCTGATGCCAAAGAGAAAGCAGGGGACAGGTGGCACTTCATGAGAACGCCAGCTCCATGGGCTGGGAAGGTTTTCATGCCCTTTGGTCCTGTCATGTCTGGATCTGTGCCTGGCATGTGGTAGCTTCTTGACAATTGTATATTGGTGAATGAATGGTCAAATGATGCTCCTGGACCTTTAAAGACCTCCCTCTGGGTCATCAAGACTGTCCAAGCTGGTGAAGTGGACCTTTCCCTTACCTGTGGCTTTCCACATTCTGCTCCCTCATGGCTCCTGACGGCTCTGACTTTGGGCCCTGACTGAGACATGAATTTCTCCAGATCAAACCACTTTCCATTCTAACACCCACTGCTGATTCTGGCTCTGATCCCTGTTACTCTGGCTCTGAATTTCCAGCTTCAGTGTTCCTGCTTGTATTAATTTCCTATGGCTGCTGGTAGCTTCAAATAACACTGATTTATCATCTTACAGTTCTGGAGGTCAGAATCTGAAATGAGTGTTCAGAGGTTGAGACTGAGGTATCAGCAGAGCCTAAATCCTTTCTGTAGTCCCCAGGAGAGAACCCATTTCTTGTCTCTTCCAGTTTCCAGAAGATGCCTGCGTTCCTCAGCTGGTGGCTGAATGTCTTCAGTTGTTGCTCTGTCATCAGATTGCCATCCGCTGACTCTGATCCACCCATCTCTCTCTTAGGAGGACTGTTCCATTGGGTCTGATTGTAAAATGCAGGATGATCTCCACGTCTCGAGATCCATAACTTCATCACATCCACAAAGTCCCTACTGCTGTGTACAATCACACGTTTATAGGTTTCAGGGATTAGGATCTTTGGGGGGCTGTGATTCTGTCCACCATGCATCCCTAACCCATGGCTGACATGGGGTGGAGGGCGGCTCCTGAGCATGACTGCAAAGGGGGCTTCTTCCTGGTGCCAGGCCCCCATGACTCTGGTCTATCCATAGAGCTGCAAAGCTGGAAGAGACCTTGTCAACACTGCTGCATGTGGTTGAAAGGCGTTTTTTAATTGCCGAGTCTGAGAAACCACAGCACTGTTTGCTGCATGTTGTGGTTCTAGGATTGTGCCCTACAAATCTGACCACAGGTCTCTGGAGTCCTAAAGAGCTAGAAAAATCCTTAAGGTAGAATGCAGAAATTTGACAGTCTTTATCCTGATCCCCCATTGGTCCTAATAATCTTTGAACAGCAGCCACTGCAGAGAATGGAAGAATATTTGTGCCTAGGGAGGGCTGATTGAATGAAGTAGTGTAGGATTCTAAGCAGAGTCAGAGTTAGCCAGCAGTGCAAACAAACAAAGCCCTGTGAGGGCCCACACCCTCTCCTCTACCTTGATCTGTTGCAATTTACAGGTAGCCCTGCCCTACCCTGCACAAACCACAGGACCTGGCATTGGTCCTCAGGAGTGACCTAGCGATACCCAGGTCCTAAGCCCGTCCATGTTGCTGGGCTGGTCCAAGCCAGGAGCCGCCTGGGCACAAGCGAGCTGGCAGACAAATGCTGATGCCACTTCAGAGAACCGCCTCTCCAGGTGCTGAGGGCAGCTTTTCTGATGCTCACGCTGTGTCATTGTTTATTTTTGTGAGGCGCCCAGCTGCTGCGGTGATGATATTTATATCAATAAGTGTTCTATTCATCTGCCGATTTCAGGCCATGCTTGCCAGCTGCATATGGCAGCCAACCTCAGGGCACTTCTGAGCCTGATGTTTTTGCATTTAGAAAATCAGTTCTCAAAGGCTGTACCAACATCTGGGCCTGTGAGATCCTTTCTCCACGCAGGACTCATGCTGGAAAGGGGAGCTTTAGCCAACGATCTTGACCCTTGTTCCTCAGTGAGCTTCCTTGACACTCTTCCTCTGTGGCCAAGCTCCAGTTTGGCAGAAAAGAATGTTGAAAAAGAGGGCAAACGGCCTTTCAGGGGCCCGACTCTGTTCCCGGGCTCACGAGCTGACTTTGCTGTTTTTGCTGTTTTACTGCTTCAGCCAGAGGAATAGGGTGGCAATGTCTTTTGACTCCAAAATTTCGCAGGGAACTCTCCAGAATGCTCTGTTTGACGGGAATTTATTTATTTCCATAGTTATCTCTGTTTTCAGCCTTCATTGTTCCGGCCTCAAACCTTGGAATTATCCTTTGATCCCTCTTTTTCTCTCGCATATGCAATCTATCAGGCTATTGGGTTGGTTTTACCTCTGAGATCTATCCAGAATCCGCCCCATTGCTGCCCCTCCGGTTCGGGCCGCCCCCAGCTGCCACCTGGATTATGACAGCAGCATCTTTTTTCTCTCTGCTTCCATCCTCAGCAATCAGCCTCCCCCTCCCGGCACCCACAATCTCTTCTCAACACAGCAGCTGGAGGGATGCTTTTATTAAAAAGTTAAATTATGTCACCGCGCCGCTTAAAACCTGTCGGTGGCTCCTCATTTCTCTCAGAGTGAGCCCCAATTTCTCTCTATAAGCTCCGGGGCCCCTTGACTTCATTTTCTGCTCTTCTGCCTACATTCCCTCTGCACCTGCCCCAGTGGGCTCCATATTGTTCCTTTTTTTTTTTTGAGACGGAGCCTCAAGCTGTCCCCCTGGGTAGAGTGCCGTGGCATCACGCTCACAGCAACCGCCAACTCCTGGGCTCAAGCGAGTCTCCTGCCTCCGCCTCCCAAGTAGCTGGGACCACAGGCGCCCGCCACAACGCCCAGCTATTTTTTGGTTGCAGCCATCATTGTTGTTTGGCGGGCCCGGGCTGAGGATTCGAACCCGCCACCTTAGGTATATGTGGCTGGTGCCTTAGCCGCTTGAGCCACAGGCGCCGAGCTGTCCATATTGTTCCTTAAGGCGCCACCTGCGTGTCTGCCACATGGCCAGGCGCGGGGGCCCAGGACACTCTTCCCTGAGAGGGCTTTTGCTTGCTCCATCCCCTCCTTCGGGTCCATGTTCAGGCACCATCTTCTCCCTTGTTGCAATTACAGCCCAGGCCCCAGACCCGTCCTGACCTCTCATTTCCTTCTGCCAAACACTTTGTCACCTTCCAACATGTAATTTAATGACACGGTGGAGTGTTGGTTGCTTATCGTTTGTTTATCCGCCTTTAGAGTAGAAGTTGCATGAGCAATGGGAACGTTCATGCTGTCCTTTGTCTGTGTCACTCACAGATGTGTCTCGAGCACCTAGAACAGCTTCTGGCCAATGGCAGATGCTTACGGATATGGCCTTCCAGGTGAAAGGACTCATTCTTGAACATCTCTCATGGACACCTCCCAAGCTGCACTTGGCTGTGCTCCCTACTCCTCTGCTCCTCTGCACCTCCCGCCTCCTGCCTTTCCCACGTGGGCCAGTTGCATCCTTGGCACGTGATTGTCCAGACTACACAACTTGCGGTTACGGACGTCTGTCCTTTTCATTCACCTCCCACCTACAACTGCTACCTGCAACCCTAGAGATGTTTTCACATCCAATTCCAGTTCTCTCCCCTCCTGCCACTTCCCCAGTCGGCTCGCCACCTTTATTTTCTGTATATTTGCACCTTTGTTCTCCCAGACTCCTTGGTTTCCAGGGCGCTCCCTCCAGGTCTGCCCCTGGTCTGGCCCCCAGACCTGGCTTTCTAACAGGAGCTCTGGCTCTGCGTACCGCTGTTAACGCCCATAGTGTCTCTCCTCCCTGCACAGCAGGTATTTCTATCTGTGCATCTGGGAACTCCAGGGATGTCACAAAGGTGCCCAGAGAAACTGGGTTTCTGAGAGACACCGAGAAAAGGTTGGGAGCAGTGTCGGGGGACTCCACCCCTGCCTCCTGCTTTGCCATGAGCAGCTCTACATTGTGCCTATTTCATATTGGGCTCGCATGAAAGCTTCTGTTTGTAGAAAGGATTCTGTGGCTTACACAGTGAAACTCTGATGCTTCCTATGCTGCTGTTCAAGGCTGGAGCTCCTTAGTCTGGCCCAGGGGTGGGAGGCAGCCCTATGCAAGCTGGCCACTTGCTGTTCCTTCCAGCCTCACCACCCTCTTCTCTTGCTGATATCCCCAGAGTCCCAGCCACACTGGAACAGACGCTGTTCTGCAAACAAGCCTAAAACACACATCCCCCTACCCTTGCCTCTGCCTCTGCTGTTCTCTCTGCCTGAAATGCCTTTTCCTAGCTGGTTCAGCCCCAGATGCCTATAGCTCCTCTGCCTTCCTCAAGGCCAGCATCACCTTCTTTTTGAAGCCTTCCCTCACCCTCTGGGCAGAATTAATTGCTCTCTGCTCCTGGCCAGCACAGCACTTCACGCTGCTGACCTCTATTACACGTGGCCATGTGAGGCTGGGACAATTTGCTCATCTGTCTCTGTAGCAAGACCGGGAACATTGGGATGGCTGAGACTACTGCTCAGATCTGTTTTAAAACATTCTCATTCCTACCCAAGGCTGGTACAAGGCCGGCACTCACATGGGAATGCATTGAGTTACTTTGAGTTTTCTTCAAAGCCGTGAAAGGATAGCTTTTACAAAATCTGAAAGGCCATTCTCAGGTCCCTCACCCCAGAATGGCTGCCCTGCCCTAGGGGTGTGGGCTCCAGAAACTGATGCAAGACAGTCAGATTATGGCACTCCTCTGCTCCCAAACAGTGGCTCTTTGGTTCTCTCAAAGCAAAATCCCACGTTCTAAGTCTGACTCTGCAGTTCCTGCTGTTCTCCTCCTGTTCCCTCTGCTCCTGCCCCAGGGGTCTTAGTTGTTGGTCCGTAAGGGTACCAGGTGTTGGGGGATGAAGCAATAGAATTTGGCCCTGGGAGGAGTTGAACAAAGCCCATAAGCAGGGGTGGTGGAGCACCAGAGCCCAGCAGGAGAGCTCTTGCCTCTGCAGGCAGCAGAATAGGCTCCCCTAGTGCTCATAGCTGGACAGTGGCCATCGCAGGGCAGCGAGATGGGGGCAGACCCAGCACATGCTGTTTCAAGCCCAGGGCACCACTCCCTTGACCCACCTAGCCCTGCCAGGGCAGTGGCTGGGCCTCCTCCTACCTGGGCAGTGTCCATTTCATTCAGCATCACCACGGAGGAGCAGTTATAGTCAAACACCAGCCTCCAGAAGTCCGCCACGGTGTTGGGTAGAGGGTGTTGGGTGACCACGAAGGCGGCAGGTTGCTTGTGGCTCTGACAAAGGAACAACATAGGCTTCATAAAATACACATCCATCAGTGATATTCTGATGATGATGCCTCCCGGACAGCTGCCAGAGGCGGCCAACCCTGCCAAATAGATTCCACAAAGCACCTGCCTGCTCTGCTATCTCTCGGTGCCCTGGTGGCAGAGGGGACCTTCTTATAATGAACACATTCTCCTCCAAACCAAGACATTTCATTAGGAAAGTGTCACTCGGATGCGCATTATCCAAATAAATTATTTGTATCTTTGAGCTTAGCAAATAATCACCATTACAATATGAAATGAAAAAGATTCTAGATGCTGATTGGCTGCTCTGTTGGCCAACAAGCCTCTTGGGATGTAAGGGATATGCTGAGTCCCTGTGCCTGTGATGTGAGGGAGGGTGTGAGCTGGTCTGAGGCTCACTCTTGCCCCCGGGCTAGAATGAGGGCTGAGCTGGGCTGGCAAAGAGGGCACTGTGTCCTATGAACTGGTGGGGCCATGGAAAGTACCCACGTTAGGATCAAGCAGACGTGGGATTCAAGCTCAGCTTTGCCATCTGTAAGTTCTGAGCCATCCACCTGTCCAGCCATCTACCCATTTATACATCCTTTCATCTATTAAAACATCACTTGTAGAATGCCTTTTGGGGCGGTAGGAGAGGGTACTAGCACTGGCAGGTTATTTGATCTCTGCAAAGCTCAGATTCTTCATCTGAAAAACAGGAATCACAAATCCAAAGGGATGGTTGTCACACAGACTGAATGAGATTTGCATGTGAAAAGACCAGAAAAGAAAAGCCAGACTGTAAGCCCACTGGAAGAGTAGAGACACCTGTGATGTGGCCCTTGATGTGGGCACTGGGGCTGGCCCACAGCTCCCGTGAGTGAGGGAATAAATCAGTCCTGTGTTACACATGGGGAAATGGAGGCCCAGATTAGACTGTTTGTCACAGTCCCCTGCAAGAAGGTGTATATATAGACTGGGGAGCTTGTCCACTTGATGAGTGGTCTGGAAAACGTGAGAAATAGCTCATGTTCTCAGCAAGTTTGCATAGGAGACAGCTTTTAGGGGAGTGATGGCTATAAGTCAGAGGAAGAGGGGGAGAGAAGGGGACATGATCCCTGGCAAAAGCAGGACAAAGCCTTGCAATTGTGGATGTCAGACATGCAAATTAGGGGGTCCTGTCTCCTAAGGGCCTTCTCCTGGCCAGTGGACCAGTCAGAGGGGAGTCTGGGAGGGCAGATCCTTTAGTTTTCCCAAAGCCAAACTCTCTAGGTACAAACAGCACAGTCTTTGGGCCAATTCCAGCAATGGAAAGGAACCTAGCTTTTAAGAGTCCACTGACTTGGGGTTCAGATCTTTGGATCCTTTCTTTCTGAGCTAGTTGACCTTAAGCAAAGCTCTGGAAATACTCTGACCCTTGGGACCTCACTGGAAAATGGGACTATTCATACCTAAATGCAAAATGAGACAGCATAAGCCCAGGGCCCGACATGGGGCCCAGTCTCAGCGAGTGTTAGTTTTCTCTCCTTTCCTCCTGTCTCTGTGATAAATGCTCTATTAGGCCAGCACGCCTGACAAAGCCTTATCTGAAAATATGTTCGAGATCCGTGCTCCTGCCGGGTTTCGGGGATCAGTCGGCAATCCATTTCATGGATAACATCATCCTTTACCAGGGGAAACATTAAAAATTAACCCAGAGGACTTCATATTTTTCTGCTAGGAGCAAAGCTGCTATGGTTACCAGATAATGCACAGACTGAGCTGGAATACAGATAAGGACTTTTTTTTTTTTTAATATAAGAAAGGAAAAGACCCCAGTGATGGCTCACAGGAGAAATGCTCTGTGGACAAAGAAAATACAATCGGCATCAGAGCTTGGCAGAAGGCATGTGACTCCAGGCAGCATCTAACCTATGAAGCAGAATCCAGGTGCCTGTTTGATCCTTGTTCAGATGAAGAAGGCAGGGAGGGGTATTGAGACAAGTGGCAGGCAAAGGTAGGAGGAACTTGGCAGTGTGGGTTCACCCTGAGGCCCCATCTCTCACCATACACACCCACATACACATACATATATACACATGCACATGCTGACTTTGGCAGGCTCTAAGCTAAGCCAATGCCAGAGGTCTCCCCTCTACCTCCAGCTACAAGACATGACCAAGACAAGGCTCCCTGCTTCTGGACCTGGGCCAGGGTTTTCATGGAACACATGGGTTCCTGTGGACAGAGGGCAGGGAAGGCCCCCAGAGAGCTGAGATAGACATTGAAACTCCCATCACCTCCCTGCTTCTAATACCTGAGACTTTTGGGGAGAAAGTGAAAGAGATCAGAGGTAGAGGTAGAGGTCATAAAGTATTTGGCCTTGACCCCAGGAGACAGCACCCAATGTTCTTGTCTGTTCTGAGTAAGACGGGAGGACTGCATGGGCTGGCTGGCTGGGACCTCAGATTTGGGGTGAGGAGGGCACCTGGAAGGCCTCATCCAATCAGGTCACAGTGTTCTTGGCTTTTGGCCTCAGGAGGGGCAATGCTTGCACCTTACTGGATGGAGTAAATGGTGAGGGCTCACGAAATGAATTCTAGGGTTTAGGCTTGGCTATTAGTTCTCTAGGCAACCTCAACTAAATTGATTCTCTCTCCGGCCTCATTTCTCTGCTGAAAGTTCACGGCTGGGACTAGTTGGTCTGTGGGTCCTTCCTGCTGCAAACACCTCTGCACATTGGAGGTGAAATGATGACATTCAGAAGTAGCTGGAAGCCCTGGGGAGATGCATGCGAGGCAGAAGCACAGGCTGACTGGGGCAGGGACACGGCCCTAATCCCAGGCCAGTGCAGCACAGAGTGCCCTTCCCAGGCCTGATGCTGAGAAGGCAGGAGCTGGTGCCCCTCCCAGGGTAGTCGGGATGTGCCTGCTCCCCCCACTCCCCGTGCTTGTTTTACTACTTCCCATCACCTGCCCAGTAACTACGTACTGAGCACCTACTATGTGCTCATTCTTGCCTCTGCACAAGTATTATCTAGGGCCCTGCATGGGAGCCACTGGAGGGCAGAACCTGTGTCTGTACCATCCTGTGTTCCCAGGGCTGGGGCCCAGGACTGGCACAGAGAATGCCCTTTTACTGAACTTTGAGCTGTGCATCAGCTTGTGGGAGATCAGAGATGGGTGCTGGGTAGGCCTATAGACTTGCTGTGGTGTTTCAGGAGCCACTTTAAGCCTTTGGTCTATTCTTTCCATGCTCTTTATATGAGCAAAGGAGCAGGAAGGAGCACAGTCTGTGTCTAGGTTTGAACCAGAGCATCCTGGGGGTGGGGACCTGAGACCCTGGGGCCAGGAGAGGATGGCTGGTGGAATCAGGGCCCTGGGGTCCATCCACCTTCCCCTAGGGAAGAAGCTTTTCCCTGGAATGGTGGCCAGCAGCTTTCTGGCAGGGCTTGACTTACATCCATCAGTGCTGCGTTGATGTAGTTGCTGGATTCTCCGTCCACTGAGATGAGGAAGGGCAGGCAGCGGTCCAGGGGCAGGACATCCATGCTCCGATTCTTATCATGGTTCCGGGGCAGGAGCCCGATGCTGCAATCCTCCGGTCGCACGCGGGGTGTCACAATGTTGAGGGTCTGTGGGCATAAAGGAGGATACACAGGTGCTGCTCAGATGGTCACCCACAAACAGAGACTTGGTGATATTCCAATTTAGCCTAAACAGCCAATTTCTACCTTCCAAGCTTGGCTCTGCTGTCCCTTTCCCAGGACCTGCTCCTCTTCTGTGGTGATGTTCTATTATCGCTTGTTCCTGCTACAGGGTCTGGGAATGGTGTGATGCCTTCAGTGTGCCAAGGCTGCAGGGGCAGTGCGCCCATGCACAGGCTGAGTCACACACTTGCAACACCTGCTGACCACATGAACTAAGGGGGTCAGCACAGCCAGTGCTATGTTAAGGGTGGGCCAGCCAGGAGGTTCTGTGTGGGCACAGGGGTAGGGAATCTCTCATGAGTGTTAAATGTCACCAGAAGTGTGGAATGAGGAAAATAATGTCGCTCTTCTCAGAGAGAAAGCTATATGAGGATGGAAGAATGCTTGGATGAGCAACTCTGGATGGATGGGGGATTTCCCAGGGGCAAGCCCTAGTAGGTCTGGGAAGTTGCAGGGCAGATGCTCTGCAGAGTAAGTCTTACAAGTTTGAAGCTGAACTTTCCCGGCCAATAGGTGAGATGAGATGCTATGTGCAAAGTCCAGGGTTCTGTGTCTTCTGTCCTTCCCTCATTCGGCACTTGTTTCCCACTCCAAACTCCAAATCAATAAAGACTATTTGTTTTAAGAAGCAGTAAGGTAAAGAGAAGGAAAGAGGAAGGGGGGTAGGGTCTCGGTGTGTGCCACACCTTTTGGGGGCAAGACACAATTGTAAGAGGGACTTTACCTAACAAATGCAATCAGTGTAACCTGGTTTCTTGTACCCTCAATGAATCCG